GGGTCATTCAGCACAGATTTGAAAAGAGGGAGAGCACTCTTGAGTCTTCCCAATGTTAAGTTCACAATCCTTCCGACACGGTTTACCACATCTAACATTGACCTTTTAGTCATGATGTTAACATATAGCAGTTAATCATTACAATACCGAAACAATTCAAACATTATCTAATAATTGAAAGTGCACAATGATAGCAGCAAAGATGGGATGTAATCTGGCTGATAAGCCCACTATTGGTTTTACTTTCCGTGATCACTAATATGATATACATGAACTTAGAAAGTCCTTTAAATTTTATTGGCATCCCTAGGAAACAAGTAGCAACAAGTACAATCTTGCTGATCTCAACTAACCAGCCCAGCATCAATCTTATGATCTCTAATTTGGTAGACATAAACGTTGTCCACTACACAACTCTGTCTGAACCAAGGACACAAATCACGATAACTAAGCCTAATAGTTTAAATTGGCTTAGTTTTGTCCAACTATTTCCTTTTTTGGTGCATTGAAAGAATTTATTAAAAAGTTGTACTCTAAAGAGCAAAATAAAAATATAAAACAAATACAAAGATGAGCCCAAATTCCAAAATTATACTAAACCTCTGTTACAACTGTTATTTTTAGCCTACAAGAAGAAGTAGCCTTATGAACAATGAGCCAAAAACTCACCATATAACTGAGATTTGAACTTTTATCGACATGTTTCTCAATCTCATCTTTCCACTGTGGAAGTATATGATCAGGAGCAATAATTAGCGTAGCTTTGGAATGAACTCGGAGCTAAAAAAGGAGGACAGCACGTCAACCAATCGAAGATAAAGATTGCTCCTCCTCCCCCCCTCCCCCCTCCTCCACAAAACATTTCAAAATAACCTACATTTTTCCAACACAGTGGGCATATATAATTCACTTCGTAGGATTTCCCGTCGACGACAACGGTTGGAGCAAAGCCAACACATTCCACGTGCTGATAGAAACCACTATCGCATACATCACAATAGATTGGTGCTGAAACTTCATAGATACGGCCAATGTCGATCGCGCCACAAATACAAAAAACGCTGTGGGGTAGAGTACAAACAGAAGAGCTATTACTCATAACTTCGTCATTATAGTTATCCTCCTGTTCCGTGGATTCTCCATCCATTTTCCCTCCACTTTCCAACTTCTCAGAAGGAATTTTAAATAGGGAAATCTTCTGATTGCAAAATCTCTTTCCAAAACGTTCGAGAGGTTGGACCGTCATGTCTTGTGGATATGGACGATGTAAAATTAGGGAGAGAACTTCAACAGTCTTTCCCAAGCCCATTTCATCGGCTAGAATTCCTCCACAGCAAGGTTTACCAAAGTCCGAAGGCAAATTCCGTGAGAAGCTTTAAGGAGAAAAATAATTGAAATCAAAATTGAATTCACAGGAAGTAAATTAATCATGCAACTCACTTGCCGGTGACGGTTGAGAAAAAGAGATTTTCGTTAAAATGTAGAAAGTAGGACGAAAACCAGGTTGGATCTATTACATCTTTCGACTTTTCTAATTCACGATATATCATCCATCTAACTGCTTCTAATTGATATGGATGCAGTGTCGCTTTCATAGCAGACGGTTGTAGAATACTTAGATCATTCCATTTATAAGCATTTGAGATATTCGATTCCTGGACAAGGTCGTAAATGAGTTCCAATGACTTCTTAAACTCTTCACTGCTTTCTATATCATGAGTAAGTACCGGAATGTTCAATTCTTCTACACTTAGAGTCAGTGGTAAAGGAAAATCTTTCGGTATTTCCATTCCATGGCTTTGTTCTTCCTTTATCTTACTTCCAGACCATTTCAAAAAGCTCATTATTTTTTGGTATTGTGTTTCTGAAATGCAAGTCGGTTTGAAATGCAATTGATCCCATATAAAAGAAGGATTTAACGTAATGTCTACAACGAGTTTGTCGTTTACAATACGTCCAAAGAGAGCTAGATTAACAGAAGATAAACCATAAAATATTGACACTAGGGAAACAGGCATTAAGACTTCAAGCTTCCGGTGCTCATTATTCGACAATTTGCCGTAAAAGCAAGCGTGACCGGACAACGAGAAAAAGATATCTACACTATTACAGCGGTCAAGATGCTTGATAATGTAGACCTGTAAATCGAACCCTGCAGTACCAATAATATCAGAATGGGATTGATCGGGACTTCTCATCTGAATAGTGAGAGAATGCTGAAAAATCCTGGAGAGTTGAATTTTATAAGACTGCTTATTTCTTGATCGCGTTTCCGGCAAAACAGACGGTAGACATTTGTACATGAATGATTGAGCAAGCCGGTTTGCTGCTGGTAATTTCTCTGCCTTAATTTTCTTTCTCATGCTAAAAAATAAAATACAGAAGTAGAAATAGCAGACCCATACGGACTAAGATAAATTTCAAGGCAGCAATAGTAGATTCAAAACGTAATATACTTCATGTCTTAATTCATGAAAATAACGAAATATATAATTAATATAGAAAATATTAAAATAAAAACGCAACATCGACGGAATTGCGCGAGTCTCTTTTTGAAATATCAATGAATTTCCAGTGTGCGAAGGTGGCGGAAAATATATGAAAAGCAGATTTAAAGAAATAAAATAAGGACAGCAAGTAAAAAACTATGGGGTCAAGTTCGGACAAGAGGGATTTGATAGTGTAAAACTCTTAGACGCATTCAAACAAAACATATAAGACTTGATTTACTGTTTAAATTAAAGCAATATTATACTTTATGGTGTTTTCATTTATTAATTGTTTCATTTATTTTATTTTATTAATTGTAGTGATATTAACGTTAAAGTTGAAGTTCAGGATTGTTTAATTTGTCCTTGTAATTTCCAATTGGCCTTGAGACCGCGTCTGAGATCTGTGCGTCTTTAGTTTCTGCGATAACCGTATGAGAATATTTGTTATTTTATCTAATTTACTTTTACGTTTGAGCAGTATTATTTTCTTAAAGTACTAAATCTTATGTGTGCATAATGGAAGTGTCAATAATAGACCAAGATAAGGAGGAACATTTACGGTAAACTTACCACTGTTATTTAAATATGTATTTTCCTAAGAAATTTGAATAAGAATCTAAATGCTAAAGTGTCTCGTCTTCTAGAAGAAGCTAACGATCTGGTTGTACGTGCAAATTTGAAATAATTCCCATTATAGAATAAAAATAGTCTTAGCATTGCGAAATCTGCTGATAATTCAGGAGCTGATGCCGGGAATTCAGATGTAGCTTAATGCTTATTTCGAATAATTTATTGTTTGTTAATTAAGGTCGAAGAAAAATCAAAATCAGAAGATCAGTTGTCAGAAGCCATTTCTAAACTTGGAACTAATGCAAAGACTCGTTATCTTACAGCTAAGCTTCGAGTTTTAGAGAAAGATAATACTAGTCTTCTAAACGACCTTCGGGATGCAGTTAATTTCGTATTTCAGTTGTAATCTTTCCGTAAAGAATACTGACATAGATAAACTATCAAATCAAGTTCAAGATCTAAACCAAGAAAAGTCTAAACTTCAACGACAGACTGACCAAAATTTGATCAATCTCGAAAAATTACGATCTGAATACGATTCTTTGAAGAAATTTTCCGATAATTTAGCAATTGAAAAGACTGCCCTTCAAAAACAGCTTGACATTGAGCGTAGGGAACAGGAAAGGATAAAATCCGAATCACACTCTCTTGATAATAAACTTCATAGAACCCTGGATGACATGCAAAAACTTCGAAGAGATCTTGAAAAATCTCGTTCAGACTTGGAAGATGCAAGACGTCAGTTAAACATGGTTGATAATGACAATCGTCGCTTAGAACGTCAGAAAGCACAACTTGTTGCCGCTTTTAAAAAGCAAATGAAATTAATTGACATCCTTCGAAGGCAGAAAATGTTGATCGAAGCTTCAAGAGCCCTTAAAATGACTGAGGACGAGTTTCTTAAAACACTAGATTTGCAAATTGGTTAAGTGTCCTTGCTAATAAACTTTTCCCCCAAATATTTCTCTCCTATTATTACATAGCTTTTATACCATAGGCGTTTTTCGATCAATCTTCAATTGGAGGCAAAGCATAGATATATGTACGATTGTGAAATCTGAAATAATATACGTTAAATCTTTTCTACAACTTTTAGAAAACGATTGTAGTGGCTTGAAAGACTAGCTACATTCTGTGTGTACTAGTTACTTATTTCCATAGGTATAATAAGTAAAAACGGTTTTGTAGAACGTCGATTTCGCTTTCCAATGCGTCTGTGGCACAGTAGCTTATGTAAATGCCCCCTGCTTCGATCCCTATTGTAGCACACTCTGTGAGGGGTGTGTCCCATTGTACCTGCGACGAAATTTGAGATCCACATGAGGAAGACTCTGAAAATTTGCCTTTTTAACAGCATTCGTTTACCTAAATGGATTCTAGAGTTGTAAATTAATTGCGTTGAGGATTTGCTTTTGAATTCCCATTTGAAAATGATTCCCATTACCTTTATTTAGCCAATAGTGATAGGATCAAATCTTTACCTGAGTTTTGAATCTGGAAGGAGAAAGCAAAACTGTGAGTACGTGCAATGAGGAGGTAAAATGAGTGATCTCTTTCATGAGAAGAGGGAATAGTGGTATATGCTTACTTACAAGATTACCAAGTTGACATGGCTCACTTGGGGTCAGCTAATTTACCCCAACGATATAGAGTAAACAGACGTTTATTTGGATTGGGTGCGTGTTTGGTTATGTTGTTGATGACATGGAACTTAGTCAGAAAATACTGTTTACGTGCGATAACACCATAAGGATTCTTGATTGGTCGAGAGGTCTCTGGACTTGTGACTTTGTTTGCACCCTAACGCGATCAGCATCGCATCCACATATTTCAGGATGTCTGAGCGCCCAGGAGATGCTTTCATTCAGCCATGTCGTTGTTGCGTTCCTCATAGCATTCCCTCTCGGGAAAATCTTTATTTTGCTAAAAGGTAAAGAAAACGCTGAATAATTATGCTGCTTGCATTCTTTTTTTCTATCTCCGTACAGTCTTATCATGCCTATATGTATCTTGTCCTACACGTATAAATCTAGTCTCGAACTGGAATCACAACCACCTACTAGAACGATATTTCTTCTTCAATGTCACTCAGCATTTCTCTGAGTAAATGGTTCTTATCTAGTAGTATTTTTTCATGGGATACTTTGCCCTGCGCTCGCTCCGAAACACTTATTATGCTTTCTTTTTAAACACCCAGAGGATGAAGGTGAGGAAAGTTGGAAGATCAGTGACCATTCAAGAAACTATTTCGAAACATCCTCCTCAAATAAGTTAGTTAAGTGGAATGTTTCAGCCCTTCTCTCAATTGATATCAAAAAAGTACATGTGAAAGGCAGTGCATGAGAATGTATACTTGAATACATTGAGTCTAATCGAGATCACAGAGACTCAAGAAGACAATCTCCATCCAATTTCAAGTAGCCAAAAATGGTCAAAGTAAATTAGCTAATAGCTCTAAAGAGGCAAAATAGCTGAAGATACTGGAACACTAGAAGCCACAAATATCACAAGTGGTAGAACCGATACCTCAAAAATAAAATCGACGTAAATGAGTACACCCGAGTAACCATGTTTTAATTTTTTAATCTTAAAACCACAAAATATGTAAGAACAAAGCTCAACTTCAAACATTAAAATATGATACAATGGGATGATGATCTTCATTAGGTGCTTCTCATTGACAAATTTCTTAGTACAAAAAATCAGATGATCATATCACTATCAGTATTAAAACGGTCACTTTGGAAACCAACATCATTTTAAAAATAGAGAATAGCAAAATATTAAATTTATGACCCATATAAGTACTAAGTATCGCATTTTTGTTGATACTACTACTCGTAAACGCTATTCAACATTATTATTTTCATAAATACACTGGCCATTCAACATGTGGCGTGAGTATTTCTATAATTATCAAAGTTAATAATTATTTATTGTAAATAAGTACGATCATTTCAGTAACATAAAGGTGCGCATAAATATCGGTTATTTTTTAATGTGGGTATTTTAACACTTTAGAAACTCTTCATCTATTCCAATCCTTAAGCGGGACTTTGAATAAGGACGGCCCCTCATGTCCCCGTTGATCATCGAAGCATTGTTCCATTATGTATAAGTAAATGAAATTTCATTATATTGCTGTAATTATCTAGATAATGGTTTTCATATGCACATGACTTATTCTTATTTTCGTCATACTCAGGTTTTCTTAAAAGGAAAACACCTGCCAACTTTGACAAATATGGGAACTATTGGCTTAAGTAGTTATGAAGCAGTAATCTTAATCGCCACTGAATACGTCTGAACCAGTGGTCAAAGAACAGAAGTCACATGTTGACAACGAACTTCAGCGAATTCTAGTTTTATGTTTTTGCCAATGTACAATAAATGGGTCTCAGTAACATATTTCCTCCTGTGACGCGTTTGATACTTCCTGATTTTAGAATTTTAATTTTAATCATAATAGGCTTCGGGAGATACCATTGACTATTTGGCAAGCTTACCAGCTCCCGCTCAGCCTCCTGGTGAACTTATACGTCAGGGAGCTGAAGCAAGGATTTACAGTGTTCCCAATGGCTATCTCTCAACTTTTCCAGATTTAGCATGCATTGTAAAGGAGAGATTTGTAAAGACCTATCGGCATCCAGCCTTGGATTCATCTCTCTCTCTTCGACGTATGCGGGCTGAAGCTAGACAACTAGTTAAATGTCGCCAACTCGGTATACCAGTTCCCGCCCTCCTACTTGTCAATATGTCACATCGACAACTTTGGTTGGAGAATGTCTGCACACCATATGGAATGTCTCTTGGACAGTGGATTCATGATATTTTAGATTTGGAATGTCCATCAAATTATTTAAGTCTCATGGCGAAGAATCTGGGTAAGCTTTTGGCCAAAATGCATGCAAATTGTATAATACATGGAGATCTTACCACCGCAAACATTCTTGTTCAAATGGTAAGAGAACCTTTTTGTATTAGTTATGTTATGATATTAAGTCATTGGCTGCAGTATCACCTTTTCTACCAATTAGGACAAACTAGAAGATAAATTGGAAAATTATCGCCTATTCTTGATCGATTTCGGATTATCATCAGTTAATCAGCGGGCAGCACAAAGTGTGCATGATGAAGAAATAGCTGTTGACCTCTATGTCCTTGAGCGGGCTTTAATTAGTGCCCTGGCAACTCGTAAGACTCAAGATGAATTTGAATTCACTCCAGAGTCTTTCTTTGAAGCCGTTCTGGAATCGTATAAGGATGCCTATCCCGAAGAGGCCTTAATTAGACCAATGGAAACACCTGGTTTAACAGCTTATGCACAAAAAATAGCCAATAATGGTAGAAAAAGACCTCGTTGTGATTCTAACACCTGGATACCGTCTCTAGAAGATGGGAAGAAAGAAGTTGATAGTATTCTACGAACCCTGGAAGATGTGCAAGCTAGAGGCCGAAAGAGAATCATGATTGGTTAAGGGTCATCCCATCCCCCTTGTTTGTGTTAATAAGGCAATGAATTGTGAATAAATTATATCAATACTTTACTACTTCTTTCAATAGGGATTAGGTTGATTGTTGGAAGCTAACGGAATAGCCGCCACTGTTGGGATCTTGAGTTAGTTTGAAATTATCCGTTGAAAGACCGAATGGTTTTAGCACAAGATTACCGAGTTGTTTAAGCTGAGTCATCATTTCTGCCTTCATTTTCTCCTGTTGCGCGGCAATCTTTTCGGGGAGAATCTGAAATAAGGAACGAAAAGCAAAGCTGTAGAGAGGCTTCTAGGCACTTGGCTAATTATCAAACAGTGATCTGAGTGGTTAAACTGCTGCAGGGCTGTTAAATAGTCCGACTCAATTTTTGCAAAGCTGATGGATTTTCGGGGCCTAATTCCAATCGCTTTAATATGTATCTCATCAAATAAGTTGGACAGAGGCGTATTAACATTTTCAAAATTAAAAGTAGAATTTCATATAGGACAAGACGAAAGCGTACGAATACTGAGAAATTAATGTTTTAAATAATAGACCCTATTCGATAATCTTATACGCCGTTGTAAGTTGCGTAACACATGCGTGCTTCTCTTCTGTTCAGTCTATACTATGATACGCTATCATATTATATTCTATTACAGGAGTATGCAGTTATCCTAATTTGGAGCTGGCCTACCTGAAATTGAGTCATAAAAGGTGAGCGAATCAATAAGAGTTATACTAGTTAGCGTTACTAAACAGCAACAATTGATTCTAACTCCTGTCTCTGTATATCCCCCGTTATAGAGCTCAAGTGATAAAAGGCAGCAAGTCACTAATAAAGCTAGGGGAAAATGAATCTATCGCATAATAACAAAAAACATAAAAACCATAGACGTGTATGGCATTTCGCTTGAATTTCGTTTTAGGAAAATAGTTTAGCGACCGAAATGATGGACCATAGAAGGAAAAACGAATTTCATAGCACAATTAAGAAAACGAAAAAATCACAACTTACTGCACAAGATGCTCTAGCCTTAGCATTGGAGGGTTCGAGTTTTAAGATATGCTGATAATCCTCAAGAGCCTCAGTTAAGCGTTCCGCTTTCTCCCTGAGATCTGCTCTCCGGAGGAGGCACCGTATATAATTGGGATTTAATTTTATAGCCTGATCACAATCTGCCAAGGCAGTCTCTGAATAACCCTAAAAAGATAAAAAATGCTAAACAAACCGAAGCAATAAAGTAATTTATCATTTTTAAAACAAACTAGGAGTGACTGGCAGAGTGCACGATTAGAGAAAATCTTCGCTCTCTCCTCAGTGAACTTTAGAGGGCATATATTTAAGGCATCCGTGTACAGTGCTCGTGACTCTGCATAATTCTTCTCCTTGAGCTTGGAATTGCTCTCTTCTTTCAGCTGAATAGCCTTGAGTTTACGTTTCTACGAAATATGAGAAATCAACACTTGATACCTCTAGCTCCTCATCTGAAAGGGAATTTTCCTCTTCCTGTCGAATTTTAAGAACTAAATCATCTGGTTCTGATTGTGGATCGTGGAATTCATCAATGTCTTCTGACACGTTAAGAACATTTTGCTCTGATTTATGAGGGGAATCGATATTACAGGCATCATAGAATTCTTCATTTAAATCATCAATTGATTCTCCATTATCATCAACGACATCAAGAAGAGGATTATCACCGGATTCTTTGGGCATGTCAGCTATATCCATACAATAAGAAGTAATATCTGGGAAAGCGAGGCGAACAACCGAAAGGCTATAATTTGTACTAAGACCGATGTAAAATGCAAATAAAAACAAATACTTTTATGGGTTGACAAAAATAACATGTAAAATCATATTTCATTATGTAATTAAAAAGAAATTGTTTTTTATGCATAAGTTCGAGCACGGTTTAATAAATACACCACAATGGCACAAGAACGGTAGCACCTTATCAAACTGTGATTAGGCTAGATTTTTGACGCTATGTGAAAATTTCATTTTCTAATTGAAAAAATTATTACGATAGATTTCTGTAAGAATTATTTAATTAAATAATTTATTGTAAGTTTACTGATCACTTATGAAATAACGATAATAAAAAATAAGGTCCATTTTTGGATGACTCTTTTTAGATTCTGAACTTATTCATTCTTATTGACGATAAATAATTACAACGGAATTGCAACTATTGGAAAGGATTATAATTCTGTATAATTAAGGCCTATTTGAATTGGTGTTATCCTTCGCATTAAAAAATGAAATCTTACTCAAATATATGGTTGAGAATTTTGCAAAAAGGAAATACTCTGAATAATTTATTGGACTCTCCAAACTAATAAATTTCTTCAATACCACATTTACCTCTTTTTCATTATCAAAGTAAGCAATTCCTATATTGAACAATAAATACTATGGTATCTTAATTCGTTTAATTAAGATGATTTATCCTTCTAACTTTGAATTCAAGCTTCTTAAATCGAAACTGTCAAATAAATTATGAATGTGAAAATGTAAAATTATTGAATCGAACTGAGTAGTGCCTTTTCGCTCAATTTGTTGACAAGTATGCTTGTGCTATGTTACTTACTTTAATATAACGCCAGGAATTTAAATACCGATGTAGTGATCCATTTGTCTATTAACTTCCACTTGGCCAAATCCCTCGTGACCTTGGATGGGAGAAATAAAGCAAGCTTAAGTTTTTGCAAAGCACACTTATAGAGTAAATGCAGGTTTGCAGCATTGTATACAAAGAATAATTTGCGTGTTTGCCCGTAGAGAAGACAAATCATTTAAGTTACTGGTAGATTGTGCAAAGCAACATTCTATACAACTATAAAGCAACATAGTATATAAGATTTATCGGCACCAAGCTCTGCATCAAGCAATGAATTGGAAATAGTCTATATTTCTGGGAGCATTACGACAATACACATAATAAAAGAAAAATATTTACAAACCGATTTTATTTCGATTAATTTATTTTAATGCTTGCTTAATAGGCTCAAATATTGATCATGACCTGAAATTAGATATATTTGATATCAATATTAACAACATTTCAGAGGCCTAAATAAGCCGTAGATCTAAATTTCAAATTAAAGCCACTTAAAGCAAGAAAAGGTTTAATTGACCTGGCCTAATATCCTCTTTTGTCAGCACTCATTGTCATATCGTCTTATCTTAGAGGTTTCATTCAAGACCAGTTGTCAATAAAAACATTAAAAGTAAGTGATAAATATTAAACAATAAATGTAAATTTTAGCACATTCGGTATCAGATAATCTTATGCATTCTCAAAAATATTTGTTTTGAAACATCTTGGAGGTATAAAATTCAGGAATATTGAATCTAACTTTATTCAGTCATTGGAACCTGGAGTATAATCTATTCACTTTTAAAGTTCGGTTACCTAATTTCGAATAACAAGGTAAAAATAAAGATTTTATTGAGTCTTCAAGATGACAATGACTAAATTTATCACCAAAATCAATATAACACCAACGTCAATCCAATACCTTCAGGACACTCTGTTTTAGCACACTTCTGTTTACGCGCTGGGACTGAGTACTTGGGTGCGGCTGGGAGTTCGGGTTAGTATTTGTCTTCTGAAATGATTTATAAATTTGCTCTTTTTATTTTTTATTACATGTCTTGTAACGCAATTTTTCAAAATACTGTATGTAGATTTGATTCCCTTGGATACCTTAATAGCTTGTAAATGTCTTTGAAATGCAACCAATTCAAAGTGTATGTATTATTTTGCTCCTAGGTTTTTTATGGTTTTCTGCCAATTTTAGCCCTTTATTTGCACAGATGGGCGAAACAAATTCAAAAGCTGCTTTCGAGATCTGCGTAGTGACTGTGGACTTTGTGGGCAATGGACTTGGCCCAGGAATTAACATGGTCATGTTTGATAACAGCAACAACCAATCTCCAGTCATCGCCCTGGATCATATTTTTCAAAATGAACTGGATTATCATCAGGCCAAATTCACTATTGACCAGCAACCTTGGAGTAAACCAAAAGTATTTTTTCGTATAATTTATGCCTTTGTATTATAAATTTGAAAATATTTAATAGTTTTCTTTTACCCACATCTTGTTCCAAAACGTCTTTTTTGGTACTTTTAAGGCCAGTCAGACCGATTAGGCTGTTATATATATATATATATTTTGATCAAAGATTATTGCCTCTTTTAGTTTCATTCTAGAATGTTTGAGCTTTTTAATGTAAAACCCCAAAGATATTTATTTTTCTTAAGTACACATTGCTCATTTTTTTACGTATCTATTATTTTATATTTTGTGCAGCTGATCTGCTACTTAATTTGTTTTCTGAGAACATCCATATTGCATTTTAATGTAGTACCATAAATCTCTTATATCTCCCTTCTTAGTTGACTTTTTTCGGTTTTCTGTTAATGGAATGATTAGCAATTCGTAAGCTCATTTGGTGTTCGCTATTGTTGTTGTCCATTGCAACACGTGATCTCGGACTTCTCAGCTAATCTACATTGGAATTTGGTGGTTGTTTTCGTTATTTAGAGCTCCATGTGGTGCACCCTGGGCAACGTATACTCATGCGGCAAAAGAGTCTTTTAATCGGCAATTGACTTCTCACTTCAAGTTACCATCACCCCACTGTATACCATATTCAACAACTTCCACAATTCTCACCTCACCTTTTTTCTACCTTTGTGTCCGTCTCTTTTACATTTTTGAAAGACTCTTCTGTCTCCCCCCTTCCCCTCAACTTTTTCTTACTTTAATGTTCCTTCCCCTTTGAGAGGTCTGAAGTCAACTAAAGGCCTAATGATAACTATCAAAACGCCTTCCATTTGATATAAATAAATAAATAAGCTGCCGCTTATTAGACATTTACTTTCCCCATATTTATAGTAGCAGCACGCAATTCAATAGCACCCCCAAGTAACTTATATTCTACTTGGCCTACTTTTATTAGACATTATGACTATAGTTAGCGAAAATCAAGCATATCTATTGAATATTCGTTACCCAAATAGTCTATTTTTCGTTTATAATTAGAAGTAAAACACGACCTATAGATCTCATTGAGTGCAGGCGTATGTTCTCTAAAGTTTTAGTCTACATCTTGGTGACATCTTAGCTAGTTTCCTGCCATTATACTGATGAAAATGATTCCCCCCTATTTCTAATTGCTTATTGGCTTTATTTTTTTGTCATCTTGTCTGGTATGTTCCCGCCTTTCCTAGTTATAAACTTTTATTTACGCTGTTTATTGACTTTCTCCCTTCATTACACAATAAATATTCTCAAGTAACCCGAGCTTAGGACTCCACTATATATGCATTTCCCCCTTTCTGTTTTAGGCCTTTGGTAAACTCCATCACATCGAATTCTGGCGCACTGATGGTTCACACACAGCCGATGGCTACAGTGTGGCCGCCTGGTACTTAGACCGTGTGATAATCCGTGACAAACGTTTCGGCCTGACTGGTCAGTGGGATTACTTTTTCTTCCCCCTCCATGATTGGGTAGTTCCAGCTGCACAATATGTGATCCAGGATTGTGAAACATATCTTCCCCAACAAGAACCCTTTCCAGATTTGCGGTTAGTTCAGTTGGAACGGAGGCAGCAGCTTCTTATACTGACTCAAAGAGCGAGAGGTCTTCCAGTTGAAGTAAGTGCTTACTGATAGTAGTCACGCTGATATTAGTAAGAAATGCCCCTTAATTCCTAGATCAGCCTTCGTTTTATAAGAATGTATTAGGGAATTTGAAGTCTGGAGTTATTTTGTTATTCATGATCATATCGTAGTAGTATTCTTTTTAGCATTTCTTACTTTTTATAAATGTATCATTGAACTGCTGATTTCATTCATTTTCCACAGAATGAGAAAAACTTGATGATTTAGAAGATTGTTTCATTTTATCCTAGTTGCACGGTCCATCTTGAGTAGAAACATTTTTGTATGAACTAAGAGAATAGATTAAAGTATATCTAAAAGGAATCGTGTGATCGAAGTAGAGATCTACTTTTGTGGAAACCAAGTTGGAGGTCAGGGAGTCAACCTCCTTCGCAATGGTCAATCCATGGAATTTTGCTTATGAATGAATACCCCGTTGTCATAAGATTAAACCAATCAGTGTGGGTGCGATGAGTCTATTAAGGACTTGCGCTATAATTTCTACCTCTCTCTAGAAATAGTCAAGTGCTGTAGTCTAGTTCTCACGCTCATTACCATTAATTGTGCCTCTTCGATGATAGAATCGGATTCAATCACACCATATCTGATTTTAATAGACTCGCTTCGCTTTTACAATTTAGTCTACACCCACACACACCCCCACACACATCTTTTGCCCATGTTACCGTTCTTTTACTCATTTGATTTGCTTTACGAAAAAAAAGATATTGGAAGATTTCTTGTTTGAAAGGTGATAAAAATTCGGCTGATTCCCAATAAATTTTTGGCATATTTTTTATCCCTATGAAAAGTAATTGTTTTATATCATGCACTCCTATAGTAATGTAGGGTCATTGATTATGTTAATGTAGTTTAGTCGGACAGGTTTCGAGTTTTAAATGGCAAGGCTCATTGACCTGTAAAGAGAGAGAGAGAGGGATTCTTTTTCGGGCCTTTTCTGGCCAGTTTTTTTTCTCGGGTAATTGACGCGGTTGCTCCCTAACTTTCTCCAGTCTCTTCAATGCTTTCTTTGCCTTGAAAATGGTCGAGCTCTTTTTTTGAGGCTTTGTTGAGCGCACTTCGTTTGTAATGCAACCTAGGTGGCCGTATGCCCTTCATGATATGCTCTAACTCGTTTTTTTTTTCATTTGAGCATGGAGCATTCAATTTGCTGTTTTTATTAGGTTGGCAACTAAGTCATTGCCGATTTCAAATAAGAAGGCAAATTCGGAATTTTTGTTTAAAAATATAACTTTATTCAATTAGATATTGGCCGTTCTTGTCGATGACCTTTTTCCATCCTTCTGGCAGAGTAAAAATTCCCCCTTCGTAAAATGTCTGGTCTTTGTTATTAAAAAACTGAATTAGGTGTGATCCGACATCATCCGCATTGTTAAAAATTTTACCATTTAAAGAGTTTTGCATGGAACGAAACAAATGGTAATCCGAAGGCGCAAGGTGAGGGCTATATGGTGGGTGTGACAAAACATCCCAACCCAGTTGCAATAATTTTTGCCGAGTAACCAAAGATGTGTGGGGCCTTGCGTTATCATGATGGAAAACAACACCCTTCCGATTTGATAATGCCGGCCGCTTATCTTCAATTGCATCCTTCAGTTTTTCGAGTTCTTCAACATACACATTTGAATTTATCGTTTGGTTCTGCGGCATGAGTTCAAAATACAAAATTCCTTTTTGATCCCCCCACCAGACTGACCGCATAATCTTTTTTGGTGAATCTCTGCTTTTGATACTGTTTGGGCTGGTTGATCTTGCTTCACCCATGATCTCTTGCGAGTAACATTGTTATAAACTATCCACTTTTCGTCGNCAGTAACTAGGTTCTTCAGAAATGGATCATTCTCATTGCGTTTCAGTAGCGGCGAATCACAGATGCTAATCCGTTGCGTCAAATGAATTTCCTTTAACTGGTGAGGGATCCATAAGTCAAGTTTCTTGACATAACTAAGGGTTTTTCATTTTTTTTCAATGCACGTATGCGACACATTGAGCTTCTCTGCAATATCTCGTGTTGTGCTGTGACGATTTGAATCGATAATGACCTTGATATGGGTTTCATCCACTTCGACTGGGCGGCCAGATCGTTGTGAATTTTTCAGTGAAAAATCACCGGAACGAAATCTTTCAAACCAATTTCGACACTGCCTTTCTTTTAAGGCTTCATCTCCATATACGGCACATAACTTCTTTTGTGCTTGCGATGGGTTCTTGCCTTTTCGGAAGTAATACAATAAAATGTGTCGGAAGTGCACGTCCTGTTCTTTCATTTTTAAATTGGGATAAAAACAAAACTAAAGAACTAAACAAAAAAATTTTTTACTAATTAACCTAGAAGCCCATACAGTAAGAAAAAAATATAGGTAAGATGCTCTGGCCACGTTAACAAAACAAAAGAAAGTATAGAGTGAATCTGTCAACAAAAACGGCAATGACTTAGTTGCCAACGCAATATATTCTCTGGTATTCTATAATCAAGTAATTACTTTCGATCTGCTTACTATAAATATTTTCTTGGCATTGACTAAAATTAGTCTACAAATTTAATCAAATTTCATTTTTTATTGCTTTTTTATTTATTTATTTATTTCTGTTGCTCTCTTACCTTTCTAGGGATGTTGAGTGTAAAGTTAGGAATTAACATAGCTTCCAACTTTGTTGGTAATGGTTGAACTTCTGTTTATGCCCAATTACTTCCACTTTCCTGATGTCCTCATTTCCTCTTGACGCTAGGTCAGCGAAGTTCCCACAACGGAACTCTTCTCCTATGATTCACGAGTAAGTTTTTGTTATGTTGCCAAAATAAGCTCAAAACTGCTGGGGTTATCGAAATCCTTTCCCCTTCCCCCCTCCTTTAGTGGGACATAGAAGACGTTGTTTTGGAGCTAATCGACCGAGTTGGTCTTTCCGCCGATTACAATAGCGAAGAGTCCTGGGATTCTCTCGATTCAATTGGGAGTCTGTACAAGCGACACAACATCACGGAACCTTTGGTAATCTTCGTGCACTTTCGCCCCACACCCTGTATCGGAGTTTTTTTCTATGTCTCCCTTTTTACCCCCTGTAGAGTTTATCGTACTGGATGATGAACGACGTAGCTTTCGGTGCTCAACGACTCAAAGGCTGCAATCCTTTCGTTATTCGTCTTTGCACGGAATTTCCATCTTGGTAAGAGAAATTTCACTTACTTCTTTAATATCTCGCTTCAATGCAAGAGGAAAGGTTAACTTCTTTACGGAGTATTTGCTTTGAAACTAAACGCCCTGGCGAATAAGTAATCAGCAAAAGGATATCCTTTCCAGATTTCTGGAAATGGTTATGGAAGAAGAGCTTTTACGATCTTATCCAACACATTTGACATCTGTATAGGAAACGTCTATTTCTAGTTATGATAAAACTCAATCATCAATATGATTTTCAGCTGATATCGATTCAACTGATCATTTCTTTTTAAATGTCAAATCCATTTAGTTCAGGTATAATTCCAGCAAATGATGTTCATAAAAAACTAGCAGTAGAGAAGAGAAGAAAAGATTGATTTAAAAATGCTGGAACTTTAAAAACAAAAATTGTGTAATGTGCAAGGTTTTCATTGGTTTGGATAAATTAATTCACTTTTAAAGGCTGTTTTTTTCTACTAGGAAATGAAAGCTAATAAAAGCCACTAATAATTTGTAATCTTTAATTTTCTCTCCGATAAAGTCGTTTTGGCTCGAGTGGTGAATATTTGTAAGAGAGGGTAAGATTCTAAAAGAAAGTCCATTGGCCTTATTAGCCAGGGTATATAAAATTCCCAAGGTCTCTAGAAGAAATATTCTCGAGGCTTGTAGTGGGCTTGGGAGAATGTGTTAACTGGAGAGTGTCGGTCTTGTGATTAGTTCACATTCTGCCATCTCTCTTTTTCACCGTAAAAGCCTGGGCGCGGTTGTCAATCGATAGCATTGAATCCATTCCGTTGGGAGTTAATCTCTCCTTACTCTTGACTTGACAAAGGGGGTAAGTTGGTCTTCGGCACACGCTATACGGGTAGCCTCGACATCATAGTTTAAGATGTTATCTCGAATTTGCTCTCTCTCCTTTGGACTTGTTTTTTTTCAATTGCCTTCAAAATATTCTCTTGTTTTTGTCGTTGAGTGTGAACAGCATTTCACAAATTTGGTGGAATAATACTTGCATAATTTCGTGTGATTCATTTATTTATTTTGGGAATTTGTCCTACCCTTTGCAGTCTTTTTGTGAATCCCTTTTAACCAAAAGTATCTAACGACTCCTTTTCTAAGATTTTAAGTGTACAGTTCTAGATATGGTCATAGTACTTTCAATGTGGCCGGAAAAGAACCTCAGAGGACTATTGAGCTGATTACTTATCAGCGATGGCGTTTCATTGAGTACGTTACTCTCCGCATTTTCGATTTTTTCCTTCCACTTGGGATCTCGCTCTCGTTGCTTCCACGGTTGTAGTATTGTTCCCAGTCTCAACTGTTCATTATCGTATTTGTTGCTTGCAGTCCCGAGAGTATAAATAATCGCTCGCTGTGCTATGCATAATCACAGCAACTAAGTGGACCGAATTGATCTGCTTGATGGCGTAAGCGAATGCGGCTGGCAGTAGTCACCATTTCTCTATGTCCATCTGTGGAGGGTGACGCCTATGTGTTGCTAATGATTGCATAATACTACTTTTGGCATATTATGCCGCTGCTGTGAGTCATCATTGAGTGGGTTGGACATCCGTTTGTTGCCAAGTCGTCGTTATGCTTCTTCATATGGTTACCATTATTACCATTTTGTTATTTGCGGATCTGCAGACTTCATTAATGTGCTACCAGAAGCATTGAAGTGTTGCGTTTTAACACTTTAAGAGCACAATTCGTGCTGCTTGTTTAATGATTTTAAGTCTTCCACCAACATATTTGGTTAAATTCCTAATGTGTCTTACTTTCTATAACCACTGTGCTAATTACCAAATTAGACTGTAAGAAGTTATATTTGTACATTGTTGTATTGTATTGTTCAACGACAAATGAAATTCGAATGGAGGGGGGGTGGCGGAGAGACGGTGAAAAAAGTGTTTGAAACTCGTGTCTGAAATTCGATGTTTGAGGAATAACTCAGACAAAGTAGCTGAGTCACCTTTAGGCGGATGTGACTAAGCATCGATTATTGATAGCCTTCCGCTGTTCATTCAATTCTTAAAAAAATGCACATGGAAGGAGGTAAAATTAAAATATGGTTCGAAAACACTCTTTAGGAATATAACAATCCCTTCTCATTCTACAAAGAAATACGTTTCTTCTTGGTTAATAAAGATAGTTCCTATCTTGTGGTAGAAGGCTCTAAATTGCCAATAGTCTTGTGGTCTTGGCTTTCTCAAGGTGACAGAATATTAATATTAGAAGGGGGGAAGGACAAAAGATGGCAGAAAATCAATAAATATTGAAGGCCGTTGCGGAACATGGTTGGGAAATGTTAGTCCGTTGAGCATATTATCTTAGTGGAAGGATGTGTCTGCCTTAAAATCACCCAGTATGAAAACTCGAGAGAGATCCATCGAAACTTTTTCCACTAAAGATTTATCATAATTGCTTTTAATATGGTCTTCTTTCTATCACAGCATGGTTTCACTGAAAGACTGGATCCTTCCTCATTTAGAGGGTTGGACTCTTCAACAGACTCTAGTGGCTCGACGCCTATTCTATGTGGACTATGCTATCATGCGAGGTTTGCATTGTCGACAAGGTAGAATGATGGCCGCTCCTTTGGCTCTCTTCTTCTACACCGAGAAACGACAGCTTCTGCCCCTTGCTATCCATCTGGATCCTGAATCAGATGATCAAATGGTAGGTTAGTTCATATGGATGCTTTCGGTTACGTATTCTTATTGTTTATTTATAAGGCGAAATTAGGTGTGGTTTCATGTCAACGTAGATCGAAAATAGTACTCCATCTATACTTGACAATTAATATCCCTCTTTTCATCTTCAGCTTTTCTGTTGCACTGATCCGACAGAAGAATGGCTCCAAGCCAAGCTTTGGTTCAATCTCGCTGACTCCTGTCACCACATGGTCATAGGTCGTCTCCTCAATCACCTAATCCTTGAGGGTATCTATGTTTCCCTACGTCGAAATCTCGCTCAATCTCACCCAATCTATCAACTCCTAGCACCCCACTTTCGCAGTTTTCTCGCTGTCAACCGAAAGTTGAAAGAATGGATGCTTGATCGTGGCTGGATTGCTCGAAATATCCAACTCACTCGGAAGGGCATTAAACAACTTCTACGGAGGGGGTTCAAACAATGGCGATTCGACGTTCAAGGGAATGTCTATGCGGAGCTGGAATCTCGAGGAGTAAGTACTTTTACTTATAATTAATTAGTAATGTTTCATGGGTATTTGATCTTGTAGACACCCTACAAACATTTTGCTATTCATTTCATACCAGTAAGACCTCGAGGTAGCAGAACTGATTAGCATAAATCTTCTATTAACTAACCGGTTATAGATTGGATTGACACAGCTAAAGTTTAATATTGTGAATCCTTTCCTAATTATTTATCAGTCGTATAACCTATATTCTTTTTCTACGTAGGTATATGACAGGAAAGCCTTGGGAAACTATCCCTATCGAGAAGACGCTTTCGTGGTACACAGAGTCATGGAAAAATATGTGATGCGGTTCCTTCGAGTATTCTACAGTAAATCTCTCTTCCCTTTGTACTAATAACCTCGTTTATTTAGCCCGAGGTCCTGTTGACTTACTGGAAGACATAGAATTACAGACGTGGCGTAATGAGATGGCTTATCCCATGGAAGATGCTGGGCTGGGACTGGAAGGCGTCCCAAATGGCAAAGCTCGGGTAAGTACTTTTTGCCTGCTAAGAATCGGTGCCTTATCGGATTACTAAATTTCGACCTCTTGCTTTCCAGGTGAGAAACGGCGTGGTCTACCCAATTGGCAATATTCCTGGAATGACTACCTCTTCCAACACGAGCACTGTTAGCGGAGCTTCGAGCAACAGTAATGGCGAATGTGCATTTGGTTTGACAACACTGGAAGAGACAAAATCTATGCTTATGGGTATTCTGCATTTATTGGTGATTGTATCGGGCTCGGTTCTGCGGCTTCCAATGTTTGATGAGTACGGATTTGTGGCACATTATCCTCTCAGTCTATTTGGGAGCATTCCCGTGAGGGAAGGTAAATGAATCTGATTATGGTGATTTGAAAAAAAACTATTGTGTTGTAGCTTCCGATTACTACCCCTAGCCTGAGGGTATATATGAAGTACCACTCACTAGACTCCAGGTTTTTCTATTTGTGATTACTTGTAGATGCTGGATTCTGATAATGTTCTAGATCTGCGCTTTATTTCGTGAATTGCTTGTTATAACACTATGACAACCAGATCCTTTAAAGCATATACACACGCGAATAAGACCCATACATTTATTCTAGCTGCTGTAAGTTTCGAATTTTTTTGAGTATTGATTCCTCTTTGGATCTGGGATGAAGCCATAGTCCTCTCAAGTTCTAGGATTATACTGATTGCATCCTATTAGCAGTAGTAAGCTCTGAAATAATGACCCTGAAACTCTTGTGGTTGAAAACTTGTCTTCCATAGATGAATCTTTTCATTCATAGATTTGCATTCTCTCTCTCTCTCAATCATCAGTCCTTTCTCACCTTTTTCTGGTGCTTGGATTGTGCAAAAACTTTCACATCTAGAGAGAGAGAGTGCAATCGATTGCTTTCTGCGTATGATGCTTAATGAGTTGTCTGTAATTTTTCTGCAAATAAAGTTGTGATTTGTTTACTTCATTTAGAAGAAATTAAAGGAAGCGTAATGGAAAGCTGGAGTGGTCTACATTCTCTTTCTGCTTACGATAAAACGGTTGCTTCTCTACCAAATCGTCGGATGACTGTTGAAATGATCCTTTATACTCGCATCGCCAGTCGAATTCAACTCTCTAATCTCGGCCACTATGATAGCAATTACATCGTTGATAAGCGGGCATTGGCTATTTTGGATGAGTAGGTATTCTGAAATAAGCGACACCCTCTTTTTCCATTTAGATTCCAAAATGAACTCAAGAGTGCAAGTGAAGAGGTTACAACTAATAATCGTCTTCGGGATCTCCACCACAAATATCTTGCTCTAGATCCTTCTGTGATGCCAAACTATCCGGGAGTATGATATCAGAACCCGGTTTGCGTCTTCTTTCCAATCCTTTCTCACTATCTCCGTCCTTTCCTACCTATTGGCTGTGAAATTATTATGCGCTATATTCTATTCTAAGACCATTATTTCCCACTCTTATGATCTTCCTTCCAATCATTCCGGCTGTTTTCTGCTCTGTAATATTGTTATATACACTCACATATATGCATATATGCCCTTCTTTATTTATTCGAATTCAATTAGTTCCGATTGATTTGCGACTGGGTTTTGTATTTCAGCCATCTTTGAATTATTAATGATCCCCTTTTTTCGCGCTTCCGATAGTGCAATGTTGGGTCTCTTCAGTCTTAAATCGGTAGTGCAGTCCCTTACCAGAATTTCGACAGAGTCGCTTTTGAGGTAAGCTCAATTTTTTCAATCAAGATCGAATTATTATTTTATATCTTTTCATCATATGTGTCTAACCATTTAAGATGCATCATTTTTTCTTCTAAATAGTGAACAGTTCATTGGTTCATTTGGTTTGTTTTAATTTTTTAATATTTCCACTTTATAGAACTACTCCTGTGATAGCTCAACCCATTCGCGGAGTTCAGCGACAGGAGGCCAAACGTTACTACGTCGAGGATGGTACTGCCGATCCGCCTGTTCAAGTCGTTATCGATCGCTTTAAGAGACTTCGTTGGGGTGCGTACATTCATCCCAGAGCTGGTCGAAGAAAGCATCTTTACCGGTATGTCACTGCAGTTGGTGCCAATGTCTGCTATGGGGGTTGTGCAGTTTTAACAGCTCTCTGTTGGGGGATTTATTTATTTATATCAAATGGCAGGCATCTTGATGGTT